ATTGGCAAAGATTGGTTCTAGATGGTGTGACATTTAGACAGATCTCCATTGAACAAAATACTGCACTAATTAGGCCATTCAACGAAGAAGAAGTAAAGGCAACGATGTGGGATTGTGGTAGTGATAAATCTCTAGGTCTAGACGGGTTTAACTTTAGATTCTTCAAGGAATTCTGGAATGAGATAAAGGAGAATGTGATTGGGTTTGCTTAGGAGTTTTACAAGAATGGGAAACTAAGTAGAGGGTTAAATGCTTCCTTCATTACTTTAATTCCAAAGGTATCTAACCCCTAAAAAATGAAGAATACAGGCTAATATCATTGATTGGGGCTATGTACAAAATCATTGCCAAGATACTGGCTAACAAAATCAGAGTAGTGCTCCCAAAGGTGATAAGTGAGTAACAGATGGCGTTCCTTGAAGGAGGACAGTTAACCGAATGGGTGGTACTAGCAAACGAGATTATTGATGAAGCTAGAAAGAAAAGAAAAGATAGTTTTGTCTTGAAAGTTGATTTCAAGAAAGCATATGATAAGGTTTGCTAGAAGTTTTTAGACTGTATTCTAAGGAGACTCGGTTTTGGAATCAAATGGATAGGCTAGATCGACGAATGTCTGCGAACAAGCTCACTATCAGTTCTGGTAAACACAATTCCTTCTAAACAATTTGTGGTGTTTAAAGAATTGAAACAGGGCGATTCGTTGTCTCCATTCCTATTCCTTGTTGTTGTCGATGGCCTTAATGGCATTATAAAGTCAATAGTTGAAAAAGGGTTGTTCGAAGGAATTGAAGTAGGATGGAATGGTGTGAGATTCTCTCATATACAATTCACAAATGATACCATCATGTTTGGGAAAGCTACAAAGAAAAATGTATAGGCTACTAAGTGTATTATGAGGTGATTTGAGCTTGTGTCAAGCCTCAAAATTAATTTCGTTGAAAGTCAGTTGATCAGAATGCATGTAGAGGAGGAATGGTTGAACAAAATGGCTTGCTTGATGCATTGCAAGACAGGTGAACTCCTATTCAAATATCTCGGGGTGATGATTGGAGGAAATCAAAGGAAATGGGAAATGTGGCAACCATTGATTAAAGCATTCTAGAAAAATTGACGAAATGGAAAGGAAGATGGCTGTCTTTTGGTGGAAAAATCACGCTATTGCGGTCAGTGCTCTCATCACTCCTAGTTTTCCTTATGTCCGTCTACCTCGTCCCAAAAGGTATTTTAAAAATTATTGATAAAATCAGGAGTGATTTTCTATGGGGGGCTATGGGGAAAATAAAAATCCTCATTGGGTTAATTGGAAGAGGATATGCCAAAGAAAAAATGAGTGGGGGGTGTTAGGAATCAAAGACCTTAGATGTTTTAATCTTGCTTGACTTGGCAAATGGTGGGTGAGACTAGCGGAGAGAAGAGAGAGTATGTGATTATCAATTATCAAAGAAAAATATAATGGTGGAGATGAAAATTGGGAAAATTGGGTCAGAAAAGGCAGGGGGAAAGGATCGAGCTAGTGGCAAGATGTAGGTAGAATAGATGTAGCTGAGGAAACTCAAAATAGATGGTTGTCCAAAGGTTTCAAAATAGTTGTAGGCAAGGGAATGAGTGCCAATTTTTGGAAGGATGAATAGAGCAATTCTGGAGAACTAGCTAACATATTTCCAAGATTATATTTACTCTCTACAAGTAAAGACAACAAGCTGAATCAAAAGGGATGTTGGGAAAAAGGATTATGGAAGTGGAATCTCCAATAGAGAGATGAGCTCTACACATCAAAACAAGACAAGGTGAAGGAGTTGGACAACATTCTACAGAACATAACACTGCAGTAGGGGGCAAGAGACTTGTGGAGGTGGAAATTCAATTCTAGTAGAAAGCACTCCTCAAGCTAGGGATACCCAAGACTAGTTATGATCGAGAAAATGCCTCACAAAAGAACCTACAAAAGGGTATGGAATCTTGTCATCCCTCACAAAATATGTGGATTTGTCTGGTAATTAATTATTGATAGGTTGCCAACTAAGGTTAATTTACTTAAAAGAGGGATTTTAAAAGATACTCAGGAAACTACTTGCTCCTTGTGTGATGAATATGTTGAAGACAACAGCCACTTGATTTTGCATTGTAAAATTTCTTCTCAGGTATGGGAACACTGTTATAGATGGTGAGAAGTAAAAACTATAATAGCAAAAAATGTGTGGGAGGCATTTGAGCAGCATGATGGGTTGATGATTAAAGGAGTAATGAAGACGGGATGGGAAGCTGTGTGGTTTGCAGTAGTATGGACAATTTGGAATGCTAGAAATGAAAGAATTTTCAAAAATACTTCAATTGATGCTAAAACAATGTTTGATTCTATTGAAATGAAGACTTATCAATGGTTAAGAAATAAAGAGAAGGATTGGATATACTCATTAGCCGATTGGATTCTAAATCCAAGGGCCTCTTAATGTAGTTAAGGACCAAGTAGAGGTAGTGGCTTCCTAAAGGTCCTCTAATTGTTCAAAGCCTCTGTTTTTGTAGTTGAATTACCTTGTTGTGTAAAAAGGTTTAAGTACCCCTTGTACTCAATTAATATATTTGCTTTTTTTTTTTGAATAAAAAAAAGAGCACAACACAATCTAAGTTATGGTCACAACTCATCATAATAATCTCAAACACATTTTAAAACAACTAGAAGCCGTAGTAGATGGAAAAAGGAAAAAGTGAGGCTGCAACAAATCCTTATGTAGTTGCCTACAGAATTTCGTAAAGAAACCCTAAATTTTATTGTATGGATGAGATATTTATTATTTTTTTTAACAGAAACTTAATCACGGTATTAAATAATTATTATTTTAATCTTAAATATAGGCAAATTTTTCTAAAATAATAAGAATTTAGTGGCTTTTAAAATAAAAATTAACAAATAAATTAAAACAACCATTTTAAAGAAATTTTGCAAGTAAATTGAAACAAAGGGACTCATTTCATAACTATTCTACTTAATCCCTCTCGCAGCCAGCATTCCTTTCCCTACTCTAAACTGCATAAATCTTTCCAACAATTGGTAGTCCCTCCTCTTACTCTCACCTCTCCTCCCAAAGCTCCATCTTGACTCGAGAACCCTCCTCAACAAAGCTCCATTTTCGTGCAA